TCGTGAAGGTCTGATAAATGTAGACCTAAGATAATAAGACACCCATTATATTCAAAGAGAGGAGGAGAAAGCTTGAATCAGCTAGAACAGAACATTATGTCTGAGGCACGGTGGAGGTAGTATTAGGATATGTGGAATTTTTGCTACATTTTAGCTTGTCATAAAATAGATGCCATTATAATGAAATAACAATTTTTGTAAATACTGAAAAATCCTCTCAGAATGTTGAGACTTTACACACAAACAGGTCTTCATTTGCTCTAAGCACACCACCAAACTAGTTACAAACAGTGGCGGCCGGCCCATAGGGGGCGCTGGGGCACCGCCCTCCCTGATAAGAAGAGAGAAACGTAAAATATATTTTTAGAAATTAACTCATAAATGTCAGTTTTACTCTCTAGACTGTGTACCTATAAGCAAAACAAATTATATAAACTACATTTCCCTATCTACTGTCATTCATTTGTGGATTTCCACAGACAGACTCCTACCGTCTCTGTTCTGGGGGCGCTGATCAGACTGACCCACATTTGCAGAGAATCTGTCAATCATGTACTATTGCTAGGTGAATTTAATGGCCAATCAGCATCTAGGAACTTATGGTATTGGGGCTCTGAAAATACTGCGCTTTAACAGGCTTCTGCACCCAAGCGCAGGTGCAGACAATTAGAGGGAAGATGGCGAATGTAACGAACGAGATGCAGCTTCCACCAAATTCGGTGAGATCCTTATTTATCTACCCGTTTGCCAGAAGAACATCCCTGTTGTAGGATATGAACATTTCCTGTCATGGTTATTGTGACTGTGACGAATCCACCTCGTCGCTTAAAACAACCTCTCTAACTTTGCGCGCCACACACACATTCCTGTTATACTGTGTTTGTGAGGACCAATACACTCGCGCTGAGCCCAGTAGCTCCATGAACTTAAAACACACAAGCTGTTCCTGGTTACCTGCTGGCATATTGAGGGTGCACACTTAATATTTCAGTGGGGTTAGCCGTGTGTGTGTGTGTGTGTGTGTGTGTGTGTGGGTGTGTGTGTGTGTGTGTGTGTGTGTGTGTGGGGGTGTGTGGGGGGTGTGTGTGTGTACGTGTTTATGCTACGGGGACTTGTCATCTTCAGTCTGGCTGCGTCTTTGCTGGGTTCAAACCCAGTTTGGTGTAATTGAATAAGTCAATGAATCTGTGTAAAAGAATTAAGTTGTAAAAATTATTTGTTTTTGTACATCAATTGTTTGTGGAGGTAATATATGGACAAAACTGATTAATGAGAAGAAATCAGAAATAAGAGAGCCTGATGTGAGGGGCTTAAACTATTTAATGAGGGCTGTGGGAAGAAAAGCGGCAATTTTTGTTTTCTGTTTCTTTGTTACATTGCTGGTAACTGGAGGGAGGCTGAGGCCCAGAGTATCTTGTATGTTTAGTTTCTTTTGCACCCTGTTTTGAGTTTTTGAGCTCAATAAATCACCAACACCGGTAACCCGACTGAGACTGGATTCTTGGAGGCCAAAGAACCCCGTCACAGTGACCCAAATCATCACTGTTACTGTTATTATATAGTAAATTAAATCATTACTGTTAAATTGTATGTATTGTCCAATTGTTTATTTGAATTCTTATTCCGGATTAGTTGGAGACATACACTAGGCTATATCAGCCCCACCAAAAATATTTTTCACCAGCCGCCACTGGTTACAAAGTGGATAAAGGACGATTAAATACTATTCTGGACTAGCTTTCATAAAGCTTTGATCCCATTCCAATCAATGATTATTGTTCAGAGCTGGAGAGGTAAGTGTGAGCAACGCATATTGCAAATATAATGCACAATAGTTCTTTTAGGGAACCTTTGAAGTCATTCAGATTCTTTATAAATGATGGTTTGTGCTAAAGAAGACTGAATACTATAATTAACTCAAAAGATATTTTAACAAAGATTTAATTAAGACACTTATGCATCCAATTATTGCAGCTTTTTATCTCTTGCATTGTTCACTCAAACTTCACAGCTGATTATAAATGATTTACTTTATGTCTCACTAAAGGTTGTAAAAAATGTAACAAATGGATTTTTTTCATACTTTACATAAAATATCTTGGAGTTTAAAACCAGATTTGTTGGATTTTTTTATATTCACTATATCTTGTGTCTTATTATTGTACAAACTGAACGGTAATAAACCAAAGTGGTTGCATGCCAACGATTTAAAGACATGCCGACAATCCCCATCCTGAATCCCCAAGATCAACAACATATAAGCATCAGATCTGCCCAGCAACACACAAAGAAACACAAACCGCCATGCTTCTTTCACTTAATCTGTTCAAACACATACAACATAAGTAAAGCAGCACAACTGGAAACACGATGAAGTAGGGATAGGTGTTTCTTTCAATGCAAAGAAAGGACAGATCCGAACAAGACAGGATAAAGGAGGGCATAAGTAAGTGTTTTTTTTTTTTGCAGACTCTATGAACATGAAGTAATGAGAGGGGAATAAAATCGCTACTGGCAACAAAACTGGTCAAGCGTGCACTCGCCACACACACACTTACTGACAGTCACGAAGCCCTTCAGCTATTCAGCAACTGCCTCTGCATGGGGGCCAGACGCAACAGAAACCTCATGTGTTTATGTCTGAACGTGTGTTTGTCTGCCACTGAGGTCACTACGCCGCCAAGAAGATCATGATAACAAAAAGTCTGAATACTATAACTAACTACTAGCTAAATGCTATTTTATTCAGTTTTACAGTGGAAGAATGATCTGAAATCATCAGCTGTTGTGACTGATGCTCATGCAAGAGTGACAGTCATTGCCATCCAAATGACAAATCAGAACCAATTAATCTCAAGTAAAAATATCAGTGGAGATGATAAAAAAAACCCACATGTTTGAGAAATGATAAATATCTTTAGTCACCCCTACAATTGCTTGGATGTTCAAAATTGAATGAATTAAAAACATAGCATCTGTCAGTCTGTACTGTACTTGTTGCATGAAAATCTAGTTTCCATGGAGATCTCCAAGCGGCCTTATCAAATTAAAGGCTTTAACTTTGGAGCTTTACTTCCACAGACACGCTGTGACTCCAACTGCCATGTCGCTCACAATGAAAAAGCAAGGCACTCATTTGCATTTGAAAGAAAAAGAGTTCAGGCTCTTTGAGTTCAAAACACAAGCCCTTAATCGGCTAGTAGACATGTTAGAACAAAAAAAAAAAAAATGCTTCCCCCACTGCTTTGATAAACACAATCTTGTGATGTATTCGTACTTCTCCTTTTTTTTATGGAATCATGTAAGTACAATAGCAGACACCCAAACAGACTGGGGAGAAATGGGTTACAATAAGAGGCTTAGACTGAGGGCGTGTGTGAGAGAGAGAGTCAGGTTTGGTCACACATGGCTGGCTAAGCTGAAATAATGGTCCAATTGGTGCGACTGTGTTCATTCTATAACATGTACTGTATGAATCTGAGTGTTAATAAGGGGGATATTACAGTTGTGTGAGTGTGTGGGTCTCTATGTGTGATGATACGTAGAGGGATCCTCTGTACTCCACATCCATCCATTGAGCCTTTGTTGTGTCTGGTAGTTTTTTGTAGAAAATTAAGAACTGTTATGGATAGTGGAATTAGTCCATGCTTTGCCACAATTTGCTGGCAACTTGAGCCACATGTTACTTTTTAGATTGTAAAAGCTACTTTTTTAGCAGCTATGTGTTGCTATACTGGAACAAATTATTAATTTCATGCACTGAATTAAAAAAGTGAGATTAAAGTTTAGCATCACGACCCGTAGCTTCTCAGAAAGCGGCCTATTAGTGCCATTATGAAATATAATGTTCTCATCAGTTCTTAAAGATGCATTTTAAAGATTATGGAGAGTAAGACATATATTCCAAAAGGATAGTGACTGTAAATGACTACTCTGGAAGGAGTCATAACTAGGTATTTTATATGTACAATTCTTATAGAATTGTTTTTAAATTGATATTAAATCCTATTTATGAAAAATTTTATTAATAAATGAAATAAATAAATAGAGTACCTTTGGGCCCCAAATATATATTATATAGCTATATACTATATACACAGTAGACTGTGGGTTATTTTAACGCAGAAGGTCTGCAGATGCTATGTTGGTGTAGCTTGTAGGTCATGAATGAGGGAGGGAGAGAGGCGGTGCTAAGTGTCACGGGGGGTTCTGGGCCATGTTGATAAGGCTGGTAGCGGATGGGAAGAAACTGTTTTTGTGGCGTGAGTAAGCATAAGTACATTAGCAATCCTCCATGTTTTATTTACCTTTGCTTCCTGTCTCTTACACAGTAGGAAAATGGTTAAAAAAGACATGCTGACTGCTTGCAGGTGAGTCCCTGTTTGTTAGAATCGCCCCCTTTAGTGGAATAGAGATTGAAGTGGTAAAAGAAAGGCAAATGTTTGCATCCTTCTACAAATGGCATTAATTTTGTAAGGGGCTCTTGTGGGCTTTTCATGTTTGACCAAAGAGCTTGCAAGAAAAAATACAATCTACTTTCACAGTGTGGATTTTTTCAACGAGTTTTAGCTGAAGCTAAACACCAATACACATGTTTAACATAAAAAAAAAAAATCAGATTTTCAGGTTGACCCATTTCAACTCGTTAAGATGAATTAATTGGTTTCTGACTGTAAGACAAACGTAAAAGCATCTTTTAAGCTTTGGGAAAGTAACATTAAAATTAAGGAAAAGTAAACTGAAGGCTGCAGGGTTAAAAATGAATAAAGCCAAACTTAATAGTTCTCTAACTTTCATGATTCTTTGATGGTATCAACTGTATACAAGAAGTTAGCGTGTTCTATACTAACACCCAAGGCTTGTTTGGATGGAATCCAATACGTTCTGGAAAGTAATTGTTCCTACTGTACTAGGATCTAAAAAAAAACTGTGGAAAGTTCTGTTTTGACTTATTTGATCTTTTAAGTTGACCATTTGTTTTTGGTTTGTTTTCTTTCTAGGCTCAGACTGTTCTCGTAATTTCACCAGTCGCACAGGGCTGATTGAGTCCCCAGGCTTCCCCGACAAATACCCACACAACCTGGAGTGCTCCTTCATCATCATTGTACCCCCCAGCATGGATGTCACTCTGACCTTCCTCACCTTCGACCTGGAGAACGACCCCCTGCCAGGCAGTGATGGCGACTGCAAGTATGACTGGTTGGAAGTGTGGGACGGACTACCTGGAGGTACAGTTTAATCTTTAATTTATCTTCCTATGTTTGTGATACACCAACAAATTAGGAAGTTGTGATGAAGCGATGAAGAATTATCTATAGTTTTCTTTTTTAATAAATGCTATTCATTTAGCTCCCTTGATGTTCGACATTGTAGAATAACCTCTTGCTGCAAATTACAGCTACAAGTTTATCATGGAATTATAAGCTTTAATTAAACTCAGTCCTCAAGAACTACCACTAGATAATTTTTTTACTCTAGTTCATCAGAATCCTTTTAATTAGTGCCAATCAGGCTTAATGACATGCTGACGAGGAAGTTTAAAGTTGAATAAATCTAAAAAGTGGCAAGTCTGAAAGTTTCCTACAAGCTTTCTTTCAAAGAATGTATTTATAGCTTTTTCAATGTTCGTATTAACTCAGAACAGCCTGCTTATCCCCTCTGACAGCAAACACTCCCCACAGAATCATGGTATCACTACTATGCTTTTCAAGAAGAACATTTGCCATAAAACCTCAGAGGCTTTTTGAGAAAAATTTAATATTTATTGAGATTAGATCACAGTGTCGTGGAATAATATATCCAATTGTCTTCTGAAGTACACTATATTGCCAAAAGTATTTGCTCACCTGCCTTGACTCACATATGAGCTTAAGTGACATCCCGTTCCTAATCCATAGGGTTCAATATGACGTCGGTCCACCCTTTGCAGCTAGAACAGCTTCAACTCTTCTGGGAAGGCTGTCCACAAGGTTTAGGAGTGTGTTTATGGGAATTTTTGACCATTCTTCCAGAAGCGCATTTGTGAGGTCGCACACTGATGTTGGACGAGAAGGCCTGGCTCTCAGTCTCCGCTCTAATTCATCCCAAAGGTGTTCTATCGGGTTGAGGTCAGGACTCTGTGCAGGCCAGTCAAGTTCATCCACACCAGACTCTGTCATCCATGTCTTTATGGACCTTGCTTTGTGCACTGGTGCACAGTCATGTTGGAAGAGGAAGGGGCCAGCTCCAAACTGTTCCCACAAAGTTGGGAGCATGGAATTGTCCAAAATGTCTTGGTATGCTGAAGCATTCAGAGTTCCTTTCACTGGAACTAAGGGGCCAAGCCCAGCTCCTGAAAAACAACCCCACACCATAATCCCCCCTCCAACAAACTTTACACTTGGCACAATGCAGTCAGACAAGTACCGTTCTCCTGGCAACCGCCAACCCCAGACCCGTCCATCAGATTGCCAGATGGAGAAGCGCGATTCGTCACTCCAGAGAACGCGTCTCCACTGCTCTAGAGTCCAGTGGCGGCGTGCTTTACACCACCGCATCCGACGCTTTGCATTGCACTTGGTGATGTATGGCTTGGATGCAGCTGCTCGACCATGGAAACCCATTCCATGAAGCTCTCTGCGCACTGTTCTTGAGCTAATCTGAAGGCCACATGAAGTTTGGAGGTCTGTAGTGATTGACTCTGCAGAAAGTTGGCGACCTCTTCGCACTATGCGCGTCAGCATCCGCTGACCCCGCTCCGTCAGTTTACGTGGCCTACCACTTCGTGGCTGAGTTGCTGTCGTTCCCAAACACTTCCATTTTCTTATAATACAGCTGACAGTTGACTGTGGAATATTTAGGAGCGAGGAAATTTCACGACTGGATTTGTTGCACAGGTGGCATCCTATCACAGTTCCACGCTGGAATTCACTGAGCTCCTGAGAGCGACCCATTCTTTCACAAATGTTTGTAAAAACAGTCTGCATGCCTAGGTGCTTGAATTTATACACCTGTGGCCATGGAAGTGATTGGAACACCTGATTCCAATAATTTGGATGGGTGAGCAAATACTTTTGGCAATATAGTGTATGTTTGTTGCTCTGGGTTGTATTAAGACATGTCAGAATAAATTAGGATAGGCAATCTATCCTCCTACTTTTACTTCACAATTAGGTTCTTCTTTAGGTTGGTCCATGCAGTAAACATGAATATATAGAATCTAGAAATTATATAGAAATTGGTATTGATCTAAAAAGTTGTGAAAAGTTCAAGGACTTTAAATATTTTTAAAGACACTGAGTATTTGTGATATTTTTGGTAAATTTGTTGAACGTTGTTTATAGAAATTTTCAGCACTACCTCACATACCTTTTGAGTTGGTACAGAGAAAACAGGCCCTGCCTACATCCTTATTGACTGCAGTAGAGCAGATACTATTTTAGCAGCTATGTGTCAGTAGATAAAAGCTAGGCTTACAGGCAGGATGCTGGCACCTGTTTTGGAGTAAATTCTAAAGGGGAATAAAGATTAGGAGATGTTGAGCAAAGGGAAAAAGGAGACTGGGGGTGAGAAGGAAAGTGGAATATGGTGAAGATATTTCTGGTCTAGCTGCTTGTAAACTTGGGATATTCTACAAGGAATAATCCATATCCTGCCAAGACCTTGGGTCTACTTTTGAACAATGAAAGAAGAAGAGGGAGCTGGAAGTGTTCATGAAAAGGCAATAAAAGCATCTCTGCAGCTGGAAATACAGGAACAAAGAAGGAGATGTTGGGCTGAGGTTTAAGGTTGAGAGGTTTGTGGTCTGTCTTTGAGAAAGGATAAACAGGATTTCTGAAACTGGGAAAGAAAAGTGGGGAAAGGAATTTGTCCAGATTTTGTATCCAGGCTTGTTTAGGCTACATTAATACTTAGAGTTTTGTTGTTTCTACAACTGGATGGTATTAGTTAAAAATATATCCACTTGCCAAATCTTAAACACTTGATCTTGAACAGTTGATTGTCAAAGAAACATTAAGCATTATTTAAAGAGAACCGACAGTTTCTTTTTTAATGTGCTCGCAATGAGAATAGCTTTAGAAATAAATTCAGCCTGCAGGGCAAGGGCAAGACAGAGCAGAAAAGACGGCTGCTTACAAGAATGGAGCTTAAAGACACAGCTGCTTTACGGCATTTTTAGTTGGAGAATAAAATGCTTTAACAGAGAAAGTCTACAAAACGGAGAACAAAATGAAATAGGATGACATTTCATAGGTGGAGGCCCTTTGATTCATTCTCAAAAGACACATGCTGGTAAATGGTGTGATATTACCTCAGAGGTTTCAAGACAAGCAAAGCAATCTGTTGTTTTAAAACATTCAGTTAGATGCCTAATTTTAAATACACCATAGTTGCATTCTGTTGGTCAGTTCCTTAAAATAAGAAAACTGCACTTTTCTTTTGCTTAACATCTTGGTGTAACAGAAATTAAAACCATAAGTGATACAGAAGGGGGCAAAAACACTTTTGCATGTAGTTACTTTTCTGCACAATATGCACTTGAAATCTGCAGTGTTGTGATTTTATGTTTATTCTATTCCCAGCCAGCTAGGAATTTATATTTCTGATACTTTCAGATGGTTATTGCCCTCCCCTGTAGGGGGGGGGTAAAATATCTTATTTAATCAGATATGATTTCAGCTGTTATATACTGTTTATGACACACAGCCCTACTAACTGTGTGTTAGAACAATAGATGAAAGAGTGATTCGAGCTCTAATTATGGTCAAACAGTTAATTCTGCACATACATGGAATACATTCACCACAACTTCTGTTCAAAATATAAGAGTTTATTAACAAGAATCATTCAGATCCAAGTCAAAAATAATTCAATTTAACACTCTCAACTAAGACTAGTAAAACTAAACTAAACTACTATGTACAATGAGGAAGGGGAACATGGTTCAAAAACATATTACAGTTTAAGATGGATTTTATGTTAAATGACGTAAAATGATGATGGTCAAACATTGATGGCCCCAACTTTTTTTCCAGGACAGGGAGGGATCGCTGCTCATATATCCATAAATGAAGTGAAATAAAGCTGTGGGCGTGATTTTGATAAAGGGAAAGCCTCACTGCATGGGTAAAAGCTCAAGAAGCTGATTTTGCATGATAAAGGCCATTTAAACCTGTGTACAAATTGGAGAAGTTTTTAAAACACAGTCTAAAATTAGTTTAGGCATTTAATGGAGCAGGGATGAGCAGCGTTATAAGTAAATTTTTACTTTAAACAACAAATTAAATAAGGTGAAAACTGAGATAAGCCTCAACCGTTCATAAATTTACCCCAGTGTTCATACAAGCTTTGGTATCCTCAGATTTTATCTCCTCAGATCAACTGACTAGTCAGCTGTTTGCTTTCATACTCATACATCAACCTAGGGAATGGGATGGAAATGAGATGAGCCCTGTCTGTAAAGCAGGCTGTAAATACATGAAGCCTTGTTTAAAAAATAAAAAAAGTTTAATTGCGCTGTATTTTACTCTTATTTCGTTCTACTTGTCTTTTTCCTTGTTTTCCCATCTCTTTGCCACCAACAAGAAAAGAGTTATTGCTATTATTTGGTCAAGAGCCGTATTTCAAACATCCAACCATTCCAAAAGGGAAGGAAAAAATCAATACCGCAGTTCGATCGCCGGCTATTTTCTCTCCTCCTCCTCTTTATATGTATCTCTCTAGAGCTAGGAGTTTGCAGGATAAATGTTTTACTATTTCTACACACACTGCTGTTCTAACATAGAAGCACACACACACACACCCACGCACACACATGCTTCTAGTTGTAAATCACAATCATCTGTTTATGTTGAGGCATTCACATTTTGTGCTACAGTAGGCCTCTGGAGTGGAAAAACAGCACAGGAATCACTTACATCCTTAGATTAATACAAAAACTATGTTTACGCTTTTAGTGCTTGTTGTAAAACTGTGTTTAGTCCAGAGATGGAGATGATAGATGAAGAAAAGCGAGGTGATGACACAAGGAGGATGAGCAGACAGCGCTGCTGGAGGGAGTGATAGAGAGGAGTGATAAAACAGTGGAAGTATCAGCAGAGAGAGACAAATTCGAGGGTTAAAGGATGAAGGGATTTAAAGATAGATGTCTATCCCAGCAGCAGTGGGATCTTGTGTGACTGACATAGTTGAAGTATACTGTCGTAGGTCTGACATCTTGAGTGGATGGAAAAAAATATTCTATTTTTTCCACATTGTGCCACCTTACATTTACAAGCTAAGCAGTGTACCTTATTAATATTCTTTGTGACGTATACAGTGCCTTGCAAAAGCATGAAGTAAGCCTCCTTGAACTTTTGCACCTTTTGCCAATTATCAAGCTTCAAACATAAATATTTAAAATTGTAATTTTTTGTGAAGAATCAACATACAGTGGGACACAATCAAGGGAAAGAAATTTATTGTATATTTTACACTTTTTTAACAAATAAAAACTGAAAAATTGGGGGCGTGAAATTATTCAGCCGCCTTGAGTTAATACAGTGTAGCGCCACCTTTTGGGGCATCATTTTGAGCTGGAAGGAATCTTCTTTTTAGATAAAAAAAAAGTGAAAAAGCATTTCTAATCACCCCATCAATTCCCTACGCCAACCAGTAAGATCAGATAAAATAAATACCATCAGACTTTATTGTATTTTATTAAAACTTAAAAATTCATCAGAGCTGTGAGGGACTTCAAGATTTATTAGAGGCTCAAGATTACCCTGAAGACAAAGCATTGGGAAAATTGATAATGAAATCCTCCTGTTTTGAGAATGTTATTCTAAAAAAGGGACTGAATATATAGTATATGGAGCTTAATACTACACTGCAACATGCAGTGGTTCAGATAAAATCATATATATTAAAGGTAGATGTTCATAGATGACTCCCATGTAATTTAACTGAACTTAATCGGGGGAAAAAATAAATTTTAGTCTCTATGCGTGCAAAGCTAATAAAGAAATGGCCCCAGAATACCAGATAAAACTAAAGTAAAAATGCCTCTACATACCATTCTATCCAGGGGCAGAATAGAAATGTATGCCACTGTTTTAGATTTTCAATCAAAACCTGAAGGACTTCTATCATTTTCTTGTCACTTCAACAACATTTAGTCGAATCGATTCATGAGATCAGAATAAAATAAATTTTGGTACCTCAGGTATCCCTCTAAAAGCTCTGTACACACACCAATACATTTAGACATTAAAACACAATCATCTCTTTATATTTAGGTCTTTACATTGTTTGATCCAAAGTGTTACTGTGGAGTTATGTTTACAATATACTGTATGGTTAATACAGAATCTCTACCTTCAGTATGATGGAGATTGTAAAACCATGTTTAGTCCAGAGATGGATTTGATAGATGAAGAGAAAAGTGGTAAAGACAGGAATTGATGAGCGGACGTCACGCCTGAAGGGAGCTTTAGAGATGAGTGATAAAACAGTGGAGGTAACAAAGGATAAAGAGCAGTTTGTGGGTTGAGGGATTAAAGGATTTGAATATAGAATAGAATTTCACTTTATTGCCATTACATTGTCACAAGTACAAAGCAACAAAATTCACTCTCCCTTTGGGGAGCAGTGGGCTGCTATTGTGTGGGGGTTAAGGGTCTTGCTCAGGGACCCAGACTGGCAGTCCGTGGGAATGAGTGGATCTCGAACTCAGAACCTCTGGGACCCAAGCTCAATACTCCAACCACTAGGCCAGCAAAATCCCAAAATCTGGCAGTGATGGGATTTGAACCCACGCCTCTATCGAGACAGCACCATAGACCACTTGGCCACACTACCGGAGTCTATAGATGTTTAGCAGAGTGATATCTTGTGTGTCTAACACAGTTAGGAATTTGGTCAGTAATAGGTATACATTTAAAAAACAGTATCCAGTTTTCAGCGAAATTGCTTTTTTGATGTGGAAATTGGCTAATTTATTGATTTCTATTGACAGTGGGCCCTCTGATTGGCCGTTACTGTGGGACAAGGGTACCTCCTGAAATCCAATCATCGACTGGGATTCTATCACTCGCCTTCCATACTGACATGGCCGTGGCTAAAGATGGCTTCTCAGCTCGATACAACATGACGCACAAGGAAGTCAGTGAGAGTAAGTTTAAAGTTTCCAGTTGACTTTTGAAATAAAACATGAGTTTTGGGTCATAATCATTTCCTTACAACATCCCTCTCCTCCTTCTCTAGCTTTCCACTGCAGCAATGCATTAGGCATGGAGTCAGGAAAGATCACGGACGAGCAGATCATGGCTTCGTCAAGTTTCCAGGATGGAAATTGGCTGCCGAGGCAAGCCCGCCTCAATTTTAAAGAAAATGGGTGGACGCCTGCTGAAGACAACAACAGGGAGTACATACAGGTAAAATTTTCCTCTTAACTAAAGTCATTAAAAATGTGTTTTTTGTTCAGCTATCATTGACGTGACTTTGGCCCATTTTCTGGTACATGGAGTTTTGCAGGTATTTACTGCTATCCTCAGCTATTATCTCTACACTTTAAACTGATTGAGGTCCTGACTTTTGTTGGGTTGTTAAAACTGCTATTACCATTTCTTTTTGCAGTTTTGTTCATCATTCTAGCATTATATCCCTGTTGATCATCTTATTTCAGCCAACTCAGCAGCAGTCAATTACTGTAAATGTCTATTCAGAACCATTATTTAAATCTACACGTTTTGTCTGGGTTTGGACCCAGACAGTCAAAAAGTGGGCTAAGATTAGATTAAAAATATAAAATTCATAAGGTTCCAAAAAAAAAGCTCTCAAAACAATGCAAGATTGCCAAGAGCAGTCGCTTAAAATCAATGATAGCTTTATTTAATTTCAAATTTTAGTCAAATTATTTTTCATCTTAATGGTATTATTGTATGGTTTGGTTTTCTCAGTTAGTAAAGCATAGGAATAGTAAAAAGAAGACCTGAAGTTGAAAACTGGCTGGTGTCTCTTTGTTTCCCCCCCCCCCCCTGTTATATTTGGGTAAATCAGTTCCAATCAGTTTAGACTTCTAGATATCAAAAGATGTTTTTACCCAAATAACTACCAAATGTTGCCTAGAGGTCTTTAAACAATTTAGACTGTATCTGTAAAAGCATTACCAAGTAGAATCTCACTCTGCTTTTCAGAATACTTTGAAACTGATGGCTGACATGATATCTGTAACATGTTTTGGGAAAACTGAATACATTTGATCATTCAGCATCTTCTAAAACAACATTTATCAGCCATAACTTGGTTCCAATTTAGCCGTTGATCACCCCTTCTCCACTGCAACTGATACATGGTACAGGTTATTAGCGTGTCTTTTGATTTTCAACAAACCTGGAGCTTTTCATTGTTGCTTTTCTTTGTCTCGTCCAAAAAAGGCACATCATTTTGGCTTTACATTAGTGAGATGCAGCTTCGTCCTTCCTTTTATTTTTTATTTATTTATTTATTTATTTTTTTATTTTTTTTTACAGTGTCCTGTCTGGCAAGGTGGCAATAAGAATAATTGTCTTGATGCCAAAAGGAGCCCAACAGATTTTACTTTCACAAGTGTAGCGGTATCGCAATTGCCATACTGCTCCACTTGTTTCATGTATATAAATTGCTTTATTATAATTATGCAGGGAGTTTTACAGTTCATATGGACACTGCAATATAAGTAGAGCAGAAAAACAGAAGAAGAAGAAGGAAAAAGAAAAAGAAAAAAAAGCACAAAAGATGAAAGAAAGAGGAGATAGGAAGGAGACAATGACAAAACATTTTCAGTCTGCTTCATCACCTGCAATGAGATGAAAAAAAAGAACAGCACAACCAAAAAACATGGTACGAGATATACAATAAAGCAAACACCTTGAAACTATCGCTAAAGTAATATTATTAAGTCTGACATGTACTCTGTGTTACCTGAAGATATGAATGTGGGGTTTCTGTTTGGAAGTGAATCTCTAAGTACCTGAAGCCTAGCACCTGTAGTTGTTTGTGAGGGTGAACTTGTGCATGTAAAGTTTTAACCATAGAAAAAATGCTCAATAGTGGTTGTGGAGAGCCGGAGAGGCACACCCCCCTTCCTTTTAGACATAAGAAGCTTTTTCCTGGTACAAGCCGGCAATACTTTTCTGATTTAGCTGCTGTTGTATTGATGTGAAACAACCTTTATCAATCTAAATGAGGTTTGTAGAGGGCCATACAGCTTGTGTTTTGCTTTTGTTTCTACATTGTGCTGTCTGCCCTTGGGGTGAGTTTTCTGTGACAGTAACTTCTAGGAAGATTGGCAGCTTCCTGCTTATTTTTAATCTTTCATAACCCTTACATATATTTTTTTTTCTGTCGATGACCTTATAATCTTCCCTGATTGACTAGTGCCAGATAGTTTTTCTCTACTCCGTTGCTGTCTTTTCTCCCTGACTTTCTGGTAATACACAGTTGTAATCTTACGACCAACAAACTCATGATTTTTAACATGGTCAGACTTGCTTTAAATTGAATTAACCAAGTAAATTTGATCACCTTCAGAATTTTACTTTTCATCTTAATTCCTTTTGAAGAAGGATTGTTGTACATAGTCTTTCTTTCATGTTGGAAACATTTCCCATGGGTTTTTCTAAACTTAACCAACCAAAATTAGGTTTCTTGGATTAGATTTTAGCCCTAATTTGAACATTACGTCTTTAAAAGCTGATGTCATAAAAAGGGAAAATCTTCCTTTTAATAACCTGAACAAAGATGGTCCTCAATCTTTATCCGCTGTTGACATAATAACCCTCTCACTGATATATTTGTGTCAGTGTTAAAAGGAGAGATAGCTGTGAGTAGGAGGGAGCTATGGTGTTGTTTGGGTTTAGCAGCCAGGGTATGTGAGGCTTTGTTTCCGGCGTTCTGTCATAGTGCCAGCTTTATTTTGTCCCTGAGCTAAGCTTGAGTTATGAGGCTGTCTGGCTCAGAGGGAGAAAGTGAAGTTAAGGTTCAGCCAGGCCAGCAAAAAAACAGGACTTTTTATACCGCTGCAGACCGTTAACAATAGATTATGGTGATGGTTGGCACCTTTGGAGAATCTTCCAAAGCCAGCCTAAAGCTTCACGTTTGAGGTTTAGAGACGTATGAACTTAAAGGAAGATTGATTTAGTTTCAGGAGGGTTATCTTTTCTACTCTATAATCTTTACAAGCACCAACTGCTGTAATACAAAGACAATTCAAGATTCTGCTTTCCTTTAGTGACTTTGCTTCTATATAAGTTTGTTCCAGTGTTTCTGATACCTGCCTATTACGTCATTAGAGCTTGCAGAGTTGGGTTGAAATCGGAAACTTAGCAGTGACTATGAAATTATTTAATGAGATTTTAGAAACAGAGTTATTTATCAGAACTGGCTCTTTAGTTGGAACTCATTCTCTATAGATCAGTGACTCAACTATCCAAGAAAACATATTTAGGTTTAGGCTTTGATTTTTATGTATACTGTAGATCTTTTGGTTATATTATCGATAACATAACCTTTTTAATGGATTATGTTTATGTTACTTTTGCTTGTATTTGTGCCTGTCTTTTGCATTATTGATGTTTAGTTTTTTTTTCCAGATTTGTCCAAGTACTGACATGCTTTGGCCATTCAGATTTGAGCTGAAACGGGGCCATATATTTTGCTTAAGCAAAAAAAAAAAAAAGATAAAACATGATTAAGATCACCATGGTTAAATCATAGTTGTGACAAAGTATTTTTTAAGGGTTAAATATTTAGCTCCATACAAGAGTACTAATTGAATATCATTTGAGCCCAACGGTCAACAGTATAGCAAATGACAATTTCCATGTGTTTATTGGCTTGTCCAAATAAGATTTTATTCTATTTAATTCAGTTATGTCATAGAGATTAAAATCTCAAAGTTCAAGTAACTTCATACTGTCTTCTTGACCCTAAAATATGTTCTGATCCATCACATGTCCAAAGTCTCACTTCAATATAACACCTTTGAATGTGCGAGAGAAAAAAAATGCTTCCCATAGTGATATCCAGTCAACATATCTGCAGAAACCAGCTACCATCAATATGGACTAAAATATCTGGAGAATGGTTCAGACAGCATGTTGAATCTATGCCAGTGTGTGAAGTGTGATGTTAAACAGACTCTCATAAAGTGTGACATAATGAAGTGCTAAGTGGGTGTAGTTATTTTTTTATTTCAGGACTTACAGTAATCAGTCTAGTCACCAGTGTTAATTCAACCTTGTTATTAGTATTAATAATAAAAATATTTTTATAGTGCAATATATGTTTTGTATTAATGCATATAATTATGAGTATAATTTAAACCAGATTAAGATTGATGCATAAATTAACTGCTTGTATCTGATTCTGTCAGTATGTATGTTGTCATGAAAGAGCAGAAGACGTGCTGCCTTGTTGCTGTAATACTGAATAAAAAATGTTGTAACTCTAATGTTGTTCGTAAGCAGCTGTGATCAATGCCACTGCATGTCACCTAATTAGATTATGTCTCTTATTGTCTTTAATATCTTAAAATGAATGTGGGACTTTGCTTGGGGAAAATAATTAATCCTCGTAGTACTTCAACAATGATTAGAGGAAAAATTCTATTATTTTCTATTCTGTTGGTGCGATGCAGTTTGATTGTGGAGTTCTTGTGGCTCTGTTATTCTAACAACTCTGTGATTGATGAGGAACCTTCCCTGGGAAAGCGCACTTAGCATTTCTCTCTTTTTCATCTGTTCTTTACCTCTGTTTTCCTTATTCTCCCTCTACCTTTCTCCTTACCTCTCCGTCTCCTCTCCCCTCATCCTCTACCCTGAACTATTGATTAGTTGTCTTGGTAGATCTTGTTCATGCCCTACTGGTGCAGAAGCGTGTGTGTATGTGTGTGTGTTGCAAGTAATCTAAAACACCTGTCTTCTTGACAGATAACAAACGCTGCATTTTCCCTCCCCTGGTGTTTTGTACCTTACCCGTGTGGGACATAACAGCACACATTCGCACAGCAGCCTCAGATTAATCTCCAACTTTCAGCAGCTCTTTTGGAGGAGAATAAATGTTTTGACCAACAAAAGGGACTTTTTTCATCTCTATCTGTCTGTCTTGAATTCAGATAACCAAAGTCTGAAGTTCATGTATAAGAAAACTTTTTTTTAAACATTGACTGATTATTTCTCTGGGGTTGTTTTTATTGTGGTTTCTGTTATTGATGATAAATTTTTGGTTTTTAGCCATGCATTTAATTATGGTTAAATCAAATAGAGATAAAGCTATTGGACAGTAGTCATTCCATGCATTACTTATAGTTCTATTATTGTATAATCATTCCATCATTACAAAACATCTTGGTGGTAGTGTCACAGTTTGTCTAACTTGCTAATTGATAGGCTGCCTTTATTGATTAAACAATTAATCATTGTATAGATAAATCAGTATGTAGTTATAGCAAGAACAGGCTTTAAAAAAAGCTTAATTTGGATACCTAGTCAATTTAAATATAAGATGTTCAACTCAAGTACAGACTGCTTTTTTCCCCAAAAAAATATATTACCTTTTTTTTTTTTGTTTCTTTCCAGATATTCTTCCATAAAATATTTCATAGTGTTTGCTTATTTATAATGATGATAATAATAATTATCTTAATTGATTGGTGCAATTTTATGCAATGAAAGGAAATTTGCATTTAACCCTTCGTTTGGGGGCTTTCATTTAGCATTACCCAAAGAGCATTCTGGGTCTAAGGGTTTTCTCTGCGATTCACAGTGGCACTCTGTGGGATTTAAACCAGGGCATTAAGTTCAAATGTCTACTTTAGAAAGCTGAAATAATTCAAGACCATAAAGACAAATCGTTATCTGTTGTATCCCTGTACATTCATCACAACACAGCCAGTAGCATAACAGGCAGAAAGCCAAATATCCACAATTAGCATAGGAGGTGATTATGCTTATTGAAGGTGAGGAAATTAAAAAGAGCCCCGGGTCATAATAATCGATTTGTTGGGAGAGAGCAGCAGCAGTCCAAGAAACTCAGAGGAGCAGATAAGGAGGGGTAATAAAAAACTAAATAAAATAAAGCAGAATGCTGTAAAGTGCAGGAGTTTTTCTGTTAAACATTTTTCCCACCAACAAATCAACAAGACATTTTCAAAAGTAAAATTCTCCTTCTTTTATCAACAGGTGGACCTCCATACTCTAAAGGTCCTCACAGGCATTGCTACTCAAGGCGCCATCTCAAAGGAAACTAAAAATGTTTATTACGTCACCACCTTCAAGCTGGAGGTGAGCACTAATGGAGAAGACTGGATGGTCTACAGGCATGGGAAGAATCACAAGGTAAGCACAAACAGCTGGCTAGAACTTCAAAACGTATCCGTGCAGGTGATTGTGTACCTATATGATCTCTGCCATTATAGTGAGAAGATGCTAGACTTTTTTTTTAGATTGGTGAAACTGCTCCCTCAACATCCATCGTAATGATTAAGGTAGAGAGAGCTGCAGGAAGTGTTGGTAGCTGAATCTGTTGAGAGGGCAACAATTGGCCGAGCACACCAAAACATCTGGCCTTTTACACAAGACTTGCAATAGGTTCTTGAAAGAAATGTGAAGGCCTAGCCAATGTCCAAGTCTCCATGGAAACAATGAATCAAGGCTAAAACTGGAGGCTAAGGGACTTTTAGAAAAACTGAACTTAAATCGAGTTGTCTCTCATTTAAACCTGTTAAACAGCCGGTAGAGACATATCTCAAAAGACTTAGAGGTTTGATTAAAACAAGTTCTACAGCAAATTTTGAAATTTAAGAAATGTGAAAATTTTACACGTTTAGAATTTTTTAGTCAAATATTTTATAGTCATGAATTCCTGTCCTTTTCCACTACAATCCCTCATGAGGTGCAGTTAACTGCAGCTGCAATCCACCACAAGTTCACGTGTTTAACCACTGTCCCAATTAAGCCTAGTCATTTGCGTTTTAAATGTTTGCAAGTCCAAAAGAGAGAACGTATATCTCCAAACTGCCTTGACTGTAAATACATTTATACTTTCTTCATCTGGTTTTCACATCACATCTGTTTCACGTTACTTTATGGTCAGAGCACTGCTGAATGGAAACAAGGCTGAGCAGGTCCCTGAGATGTTCCTGCCAGAGGTGTAAAATCGTGATATATCTGCAGGAAGCATGCTGCAGTCTTGTGGTTTAATGTAGAAGAAAAAAGCAGTCAGTATTTTGATTTTAACTGGTTGAAAAAGTAATCTAATTAGAGAAGTGGTTTAGTGCCTGTGGTTGTTTTCTTTTTTCCATTGCAGCCATTCTTCCCCATCTCTGTGGTCACACTGTGGTCTATTGCCACGTCTAGCCTTGTGCTGTAAACCTCAATTTCTTAACGAACCCTAATGAATGCACATACTAGCAGATGCATGTTTTTGGCTTAGTTTGACCATCTGGGATCTCTTTGTCGACTAAATATCCCATTAGACATCTGAAGAAATAATAAATGGGTTAAACAGGGTAGGAAATGAAACATGTTGGAACGGATGAAGGAAAAGGAATCTTAAGAAATATTTTTCAATTCCGAGTTCTGCTAATAATTTCAGCAGCATGACAAGGTTTAGGAACTAAAAAGGTCAGAAGATTCCAGATTTGTTTTTATCATGACAAGCGTGAAATTGTTAGCAAAAGTTGTAGGGCTTTTTATTGTAATCACATATTCAATTTTAATGTTGTTTATTCAGCAGCTGCAGCTTAATGGCACGTTGATACCAGACTATGGTATCAAACAATAAAGAAAAAAAAATAAAATCCAATATGCAAAACCAACTAATGACCAGTGTTCCCAGATTAGTCGCTGGTGTCACTGCGTGTAATCCCCCTTAATTCCCCAATAACCCTGGAAAGCCACCTCGAGCTGAATATAAATATAAATGGGTGTGCGTGTGATGTGTCTAGAATAAATCAGCTGAAGATTTTGGTGGAAAACACTCAGTGATGGTGGGGATGTTTTTACCCTTTTAGCTCCATGGTGCATCAGGCTGCAAAGTAAACTGATAATCAGAGCGTTTGATCACTTCCTTCAATCTAGCTGTGATGATTATAATCTCATTGTGAAATAATGGATTTAAACAAAATATTTGAGATTAATTACCTTTTTGCATCTCTGTCATATACTAAACCTGTCTCCATTTTAGACTAGGATTGTTTTAAAGGGTATGTTTGTATCTATGTGTCATTCATTGTGTTTTTCTATTTTTCCTGTATATCAGTGTAATCATTCATTTTATATAACTTCATAGGACTATGCTCGGGAGAACATTTTATTTCATTCAAGAACATTCAAGCATTTCAAGTTGAAAACACTGCTTGTCCTCTTTGAAGACACCATGTGCTGTCTTAAAGGTATAGTGGAGGATTTTTGCGAATTTTTGAAAAGACCTGACCCTTACACTTTATAAAAAAATGGGATTTCAGAGAGCGTACACGGGCCAATGTCTCCTCGTTTAAAATTTGCTGTTTGCAACGCTCATACAAGCTTACTTTCCAAAAGAAAATTAGCTATTTTTCCTCTGTCAGACTCACCACTGGTAAGTGAAAATGGGCATTACGTAGACATATCACCAGAATGATTGACAATTAGGAGGACCACTTATTTTGATGATCCACCTGGAAAAATAACAACCTCCACTATACCTTTAACCTGGATAATTTGGAAAAAAAGATGAGAAATATTTATGTTTGTATACATGCATCTTGATTGGATATGTTTTCCATCCAATACAATTTAAACTAAAACAAACATTTGTATAGTTGCATGTGATATATTATTTGTTCCCCTAGTGGTCAGGTAATTTGAAACTAAATCAATCAAGCATTCAACCATTTGGCACGATTTGGTGATCTTAAAATATTTAAACTTGAGGTATGAATGTCATCGCATTGGGTTTGGTATTACTACTGCTATATTTCCCTAGCACTTCAGTAAATTTGTCATATATTTATATTTTGATGCTTATGCCACATATTTTATAACAGGTCTAAAAAATGTTTTGCTGGTAGAGATTAAATTGAGATGTATAGAAGGGATATGTCAGAGTATTATTTGCTTCAAGCTACAGTATGTGTTTTTATGTCTTTGAAATGCACCATACACATGAGTGATTCTGTGGTAAGGGCAACAATAAGATTTTACATTTTAATGCTTCAATGTTGGACCAAAAGTTTTTAGTTTTTTATGTGTGTGTGTGTGTGTATATATATATATATATATATATATATATATATATATATATATATATATATATATATATATATATATATATATATATATATATATATATATATATATACACTACCGTTCAAAAGTTTGGGGGCACATTGAAATGTCCTTATTTTTGAAGGAAAAGAAGTGGGAGGCCACGTTGCACAACTGAGCAAGAAGATAAGTACATTAGAGTCTCTAGTTTGAGAAACAGACGCCTCACAGGTCCCCAACTGGCATCTTCATTAAATAGTACCCACAGTAGCCTGTTTGTGCTGACCTCTGAAGGGAGTAGTACACACCGATGTAGGAAATCTTCAATTTCTTAGCAATTTCTCGCATGGAATAGCCTTCATTTCTAAGAACAAGAATAGACTGTCGACTTTCAGATGAAAGTTCTCTTTTTCTGGCCATTTTGAGCGTTTAATTGACGCCACAAATGTGATGCTCCAGAAACTCAATCTGCTCAAAGGAAGGCCAGTTTTGTAGCTTCTGTAACGAGCTAAACTGTTTTCAGATGTGTGAACATGATTGCACGAGGATTTTCTAATCATCAATTAGCCTTCTGAGCCAATGAGCAAACACATTGTACCATTAGAACACTGGTGTGATAGTTGCTGGAAATGGATCTCTATACACTGATGTATATTATATTGCACCAAAAACCAGACATTTGCAGCCAGAATAGTCATTACCACATTAGCAATGTATGGAGTGTATGTTTTTAAAGTTAAGACTAGTTTAAAGATATCTTCATTGAAAAGTACAGTGGTTTTCCTTTAAAAATAAGGACATTTTAATGTGACCCCAAACTTTTGAACGGTAGTGTATATATAATCTTTATTGATCTATTTAACCATAAATTATAAACTTTACATTTCCATCTCTACTTTACTGTTTGTCCTAAAATTAATTTGACTTTACATTTATTTCAAACCTGTTTCTAATTTTTCACCCTTTTTTTTATCCTTCAACACTGTAAAATGTATACCTTTCAACTTATATATGTCATATCTAATCAATATAACCATAATGAAAACCTGGCAGCCACATTTTTACTGCCTATACCTATTGCATTTGCGCTAGATTATATTGGTGCTGAGAAGTAATTAGTTCTTTAGTCAATGATGCCAAAAAAGAAATTCATGAAAGACGCAAGGATTAAAAAATATCCAATAGAATAATTTAGGACTCTTTAAAAAGACACGTGTTGCAGAAATGCTGCATTTAAATACAGTAGGTTCAGATATGCATCATAGATACTCATAAATGGGTGTGTTTACAACCTCACTTTTCTTGCATGTTAACATTCATCCCAGATAAGTGCCTCTTAAACCATCCTCTTCACTCCAGCCACTTACTTAAGCATCTGGGAGGAAGCTCACTGAGGGGTGGGGGAGGTGCTATCACACAGCATCCTAATGATGTGTTTGATATTTAAAGATTTTTATAATGTCATTAAATGCATTTTTAGTGGTCAAAAAGAATATGCAAACTCGAACAGACTTTTTAACTCAGAAAATAATGTACAAGCACAAAGAGTTTTTAATTGGAGATGCTGTACTACCAGGAAAGTGCAGTTATTCAAAATGGAAAAGAATTAAAAAACAAAAAAAGGATAACTGCACAGAATAAATATCTACTTAAGTTAGCTTTACTCAACCACAAAGTGGGTATTGTGTCTTTTTTTTTTTACAACAAAGTAGAAGAAAAAAGCTGCAAAACAAAAATGGTTTTACTGACAATGTTTTCATGAAAATAAAGGCTGAAAAGCCTGTTTTTTACAACCCTGTTGTAACTAGGGGTTTGGCAAAAAATCGATTTGGCTTTATATTGTGATTTGTGGGTGCCCGATATAATATTGATTTTCCAGTTCCTAATACTGATTTTTTTTTAAAACAAAACATTTTACCTGCCACTCTGGCAGATAGAGCTGTGAGCCCTTTTGCTGTGCAGCGCAGCGCCATATCTGTATGTGAGGCGCTCACATTGGAAGACGTGGACTGACACCAACCCCTAACTACATAGATCCCGAAATAACTATAGGGTGGAAAAATTTTGCAATATATAGTGATATTGCAATA